TTCTATACTTATTATTCTCAGGTTTGGCTTCTTCATGGTGTCCCATATTTCCTGGATATTTTGTGTTAAGGATTTGTTGGTTTTGAGATTTTCTTTGGTTGACGACTCTATATCCTCTAATGAGTCTTCAACACCTGAGATTCTCTCTTCTATCTCTTGTATTCTATTGGTGATACTTGCATCTGTAGTTCCAGACCGTTTACCGAGCTTTTCTATTTCCAGAATCCCTTCATTCTGTGTTTTCTTTATCGTTTCTATTTCAGCTTTCAATCCTTCAACTGTTTGAGCTGTTTCCTTAATTTTCTTGGTTGTTTTTTCTTGGTGCTCTTTACATTCTTTGAGAGATTTGTTTATTTCTTGAAATTTTTCCCCCATTTCATGGATTTTTTTGTTTGTTTTTTCTTCTATTTCTTTAAGGGATTTCCTCGTTTCTTCTTTGAGGCTCTCCATCATCTTCATGAAATAATTTTTAAGGTCTGTCTCCTCTTCTTCATCTATGTAGTGCTTTTCGGGACTTGCTGGTGTTGGATCCCTGGATTCTGGTGGGGTCATGTTGGTGTTTCTATTGCTGAGTGATCTCGTATTCTGTCTTCTTCCCATCTCTTCTTCCAGTGGGTGCTGGTGGGGTCTTTCCGTCTCCACTGGTCTCCTTCCTTACTGCGGGCTGAAGCTGGGCTCCCTGGAGTTGGGGTCTTGGAGGGGCTGATCTCTTTCCTGTGTGGGAGGCTCTTCTGAAGCTGGGCTCCCTGGGCCAGGCTGGCTATTTTTGCTAGATGTTAATGTGAAGTGTTGCAGCAAACCAGGACTCACTCAGGATGTGTTCCGGAAGGGCTGGACACAGCTAAGAACAGCTACCGGTTGCCCGTGCAGCTGTCTAGGCGGCGGCACCGGTGTCCGCTGCCAGCTCCGAGTCCAAAGCTCGGCGGCGACAGCGGCGACTGCGGGGGGTTTATCAGTCTTACTGATTTTCTCAAGGAACCAACTCTGTTTTATTGATTTTTTTGTATTGCATTTGTTTGTTTCTATTTTATTGATTTCAGCCCTCAGTTTAATTGTTTTTTTGACCTGTACTCCTTTTGGATTTGATTTCTTCTTTTTTGCTCTAGAGCTTCAAGAGTGCTGTTCAGTTATTAATATACTTCCGATTTTTCAAAAGTAGGCATTTAGTGCTATGAACTGGTTTCTTATAACCACCTTCATTATGTCCCATAAGTTTGGGTAAGTTGTGTATTCATTTTCATTCAGTTCTAGAAAGTACTTAATTTCTTCCTCAATCAATTTTTTTCTTTAATTTTTTATTGACACATTTTCAATTAGTAGTAAGTTGTTAGGTTTTCATGAGTTTGCAAATTTTCAGTTGTTTCTGCTGTTGTTGATATCCAGCTTTAATCCATGGTGGTCTGATAAGATACAGGGAATTATTTCAATTTTCTTGTATATGTTCAGACTTGATTTGTACGCAGTTTATTTTGGAGAAAGTTCCATGAGGTGTTGAGGAGAAATATCTGTAAATATCTATAAGGTTGACTTGGTTTATAATGTCAGCTCCTGAATTTCTGTTTAGTTTTTGTCTGGGTGACCTGTCTAGCGAGAGTGAGATACTGAAATCTCCCACTATTTGTGTGAGGGTCAATATGCACTTTAGGCTGTAGAAGAGTTTATTTTACAACCTTGGGTGCCCATGTGTTTGGTGCATAGATGTCAAGAATTGCAATATCCTTTTGGTGGATTTTTCCTTTGATGAGTGTGTACTGTCTCTTCTGAAGAGTTTTGGTTTAAAGTCCGTTTTTCACATCTTAAGATGGCTACACCAGCTTGCTTCTTAGGTTATTTTCTTTCAATAGCTTTTTATTTGTATCCTTTTACCCTGAGTTGATGTCTATCCTTGATGCTAAAAACTCGTTGCCTGGATGCAGCAACATGATGGATTGATCCTGTTTTTGCATTCATCCTATTAATCTATGTCTGTTTATTGGGGAATTAAGACCATTGATGTTGAGAGACATCAATGAGCCATACTGAGCAGAGTTTGTTGTTCCTGTTACTTGTTGTTGTGTTGTTGTTATTGGTAGTGTGTGTGAGTGTGTGTTTCCCTCTTTTTGATTTGCTAGTCTGGGATTATTTATTACCTGTCTTTTCTTGGGTGTAGTTAACCTTTTTAGATTGGAGTTTTCCTCTTAGTATTTTCAGTAAGGATGAATTTATAGATAGATATTGTTTAAATTTTGGTTTTATTATGGAATGTCTTATTTTCTCCTCCACATATTGTGCTAGAAAGTTATGCTGGATATAGTAGTCTGGGCTGGAATCTGTGGTCTCTTGGAGACCGTAGGATATCTGTCCAGGTCCTTCTGGCTTTTAGAGTCTCCGTTAAGAAGTCAAGTGTAATTCTACTAGGACTTCCTTTATGTGGTACTTGGTCTTTTTGCCTTACAGCTTTAAATAGTCTGTCTTTGTTCTGTACATTAATGTTTTGATTATGTGCCGAGGGGACTTTCTTTTCTGGTCCAGTAAGTATGCTTCTTGTACCATGATAGGCATAGCCTTCTTTAGGTTAGGAAAATCTTCTTCTGTGAATTTGTTGAAAATATTTCTGGGCTTTTGAACTGTGTTTTTCTCCTTCTATTCCTATTATTCCTTTTCATCAGATTTCCTGGATGTTTTGTGTCTGGATTTTTTTTTAAGATTTAACATTTTCTTTGAGGTATTCATTTCTTCTATTGTGTCTTCAATGACAGATTCTCTCTTCCATCTCTTGTATTCTGTTGGTGAGGCTTGCCTCTGGTTCCTATTCAAATTTCTAAAATTTTCATTTCCAGATTTCTCTCATTTTGAGTTTCCTTATGGATTCCATTTTTACTTTCAGATCTTGAACTGTTTTATTCATTTTCTTCCACTGTTTGTGTTCACATAGGTTTCCTTAAGGGGTTTATTTATTTTCTCTTTAAGAACCTCTGTTACGCTCATGAAGTCTGCTTTAAGGTTTTTCTCTTGTGCCTCAGCTGGGTTAGTGCTGTGTTGGTACTGCTGTGGTAGGGTTTCTGGGCTCTAGTGGATACATATTATCCTGGCCATTATTGATTGTGCTTTCCTGTGGTTTCTAGGCATCTAGGATTGGAAGATTGTGATTCTAGTTGCTTGTATCTTGCCTTACCTTTGTTAGGTGGGTGTTTTGGTTTTTGATTTCTGTTTCCTCTCTGGCTCTTAGGAGAGAGTAGTGGCTGTGTGTTGCCTGGCAGGAAATACTTTCTGGGGTCCTGATAGGTGTGACCCCTGGTGGTTCCAGGTAAACTGTGTTTTCAGGTATTGGGAGCTGACATTTAGGAATGAGGATGGGTTGGAGTGTGTGAGGGCATCCATAGGAGGGAGAAAAGCAGGGTGTTCCACTAGGATCTGCTTAGTCCCCCAGGAATGAGGGCGGAGAGTGAGGAGAGGCCACAGCAGAAGGTCTCTTACAGAGATGAGCACCAGATTGGGGGATTGGACTTGGAGGAGCAGAGAGGTGAACTGCTTCCCTTGTCAGAGTGGCATGTGAGTTCCCAGGGAGTACCTGCTGGAGTTGGGAGCTGGGAAAAAACAAGGAGTTGGAAGGATGTTAGAAGGAGGAGACCTGTAAGAGTCACTAGAGATGGGGGAGACAGGGTTGGGGAAGGGAGGCTACAGCAGATCTGCTGCAGATTATAGAAGGTAGGAGGTTGGATTTAGAGGAGAGCAGGAGTTGTGGGGAATGGTGTGTGTGTGTGTGTGTGTCTGTGCATGTGTGTGTGTGTGTCTGTGCATATGTGTGTGTATGGATGGGTGTATGTGATAGGTGGAGCTGTGCAGTCAGCCTGCCCAACAATGTAACCAATAGTATATATCACACACAAACATTGACATCTACTGACTTTCACTTTAAACAGTTATTAGTGACATGGCTCAGTGGGTAAAGGTTCTTGCCATCAGGACTTCTGACCTGAGTTCAACACCTGTGACACTTGGTGGAAAGAGAGACTGAACTGTCTCAAGCTGTGTCCTCTGGCCTCTGCACTTGTACTATAGCATGCTCACACTCAAACAAAATAAAAGTCAAAAAAGACCTCTCAAAAATTATGGGGACATTTATTTTTTAAAAGTTATATGTAACATAAAACTGTATAAAGATTATATGTTAAAAATTAGTTTCATATGATTTTATATATAGTATTTGTTATATGTAATGTATAATTATATAAATTATGCAATATAAAATGTATAATATACTTTAATACTCTATCATATTTTAAATATAAATTTCTATAGCTACATAAATTACAGGTTCTATAATAGTAATGATATTTAAATTATAGATAACATTACATTTTATATGTAATAAAAGTATTTAATGCAATTTGTAAAAGGAAAAGTCAATGATATTGCTGGTGGGGACATTCAAGTAAGGAGAATGTTTGTTCTCTGTGGAGGACTTGACAGAGTTTCCACCTCTGCAAACTGATTGTCAACATATGGGTAAATAACAATCTGCTGAGTTTGAAAAATTAGTTATAATCCATTTCACATAATGCATGCAAATCACAGCAGGCGGCGGCTGTAATGGAAGGATTAGTTTTGGGCCTTAGGGTACTTTTTAAAATTCACAAGCTGATAGAATGTTACACCCCATATGGACCCAGATTATTCTCATCAGGGAGTTCCCAGTACTCCCTTCCCTCCTACAGAACACTGTATGTGCCTAATACTGGAGAGACAGCTTCCGCCATCCATCAGGGCAGCAGCTGGAGATGTTCCCCGGTGATAGGTAGGCGGGAAGCTGAAAGTGCCTTTTAAGAATGTGAATACATTTGTAAAAACCTCTTAGGTCATTTCTAATTTTTCTGCTTTCTAAGCCACAGTGCAGCTTTTCCTTCCTTGTGCCTGTGACTGGCACCTGCTAAAATCACCCTGTCTGCCCTGCTCCTTGCAGATTCTAATGGCTTTCCAACATGGAATAGGAGGCTGTCCACACGGCCATCATCACTTACCATTTCTTCCCTGTTTTTCTGTCTCTGCTTCCACCTGTCTGCTTCAACTTGAACCATTTCCTGCATCTGAATTGTATGTCTGCCTGTGCTTTTGTCTTGTTACCGCTTCCTCTCCCGTCTCCTTATCCTCGTTGGTTTTTTTTTTTTTAAACCTTCCTGAGATGGACCTTTCAACCCCCAATTCTGCTGATCTAATCCTGGCTTGAGAAGGAGAACAGCATCTCTGGCTGCCCCCATGTACGCTGGTGTCAGCTTCTGGGACGGGGTGTGGGCGTTTTGTTTTTATGAACTGCTCTCATGAGTATGAGATGCCTGAACAAAGCAATGATTTAACAGGTCTGGAATCACACACTGAGCTCTTAGCAACCTGCTCCTACTAGCAACCAAAGATTAGAAACACTTGCCCACCAAGTGGCTTTGGGTCAGATGGAAATGAGAGAGCAATGGGTCTCGGTTCACTTTGCTGGGAATGACAGGCTTCATACCCTAAGGGACGTGCCCCCCACAAGCCACGTGTCATCAAGGATAGTTATGCATGCAGCCTTATGACACGAAGTCATAAACTTACTTCAAACGTGAGAAATACTGTTTGCCACTCATTTTGGTGCGGTCCTCAGGTATGAAAACTTTGTAGGTGACAATGTCATGTTGCAGTGTCAAAAGGTTGGACACACCCACTTTATAGTATTGTGTCATGTCAATCCCTTAGGAGGCAAAGCAAACACAGGTTTCTAGGTTACCTATTAGGCTTTATGTTGTTGTTAATGCTACTGTTTGAGTTTGCAAGTAAAGCTTATAGATCACCTCCTACATAACTTTGTAAAACTAAAACAAGCTTTAAGGAATCAGAAAGATCTGGGGGTGGAAGCTCCTGTCTGCAATCCCAGAATGTGGGAAAACAAGGCAACATGACTGCTAAGGGTTTGAGGCAATTTTGAGTTGCATAGTGAGTTCAAGGGAGCCTGTACTACACAGCAAGAAATTGTCTTTTTAAAAAAAACTAATGGGAGGGGGCCAGATATCTACAGTGATAGCTATGTTAGGAGTGCATTAGATATGTGCTTGAAAAGAATAATGGATTGACTGAGATTTAACTTAATTTGATTTCCTTTAGAAGTGATGGAAAGAAATGCTAAAAATTTCTGCTGGGGTATGAAGAGTGGAGGAGGAGGTCAGGCCAGGAATGACATCCCTTGGAGAAAAATTTACAAAATAGGCCATGCACACGTGGACTGTGTGACTTCATCTAGCTGGAAAAGGAATTCTGAGCAACTCACTGATCTCTGATGTCTTCTCCCAGGAGAGATGAGCTCTTTTCTTGGGATGGCAAAGAACTGAAAACTGACTCTACCCTGAGGCTCTTATCTAAATTATCTTGTAATATTATCTCTTTGAGATATTTTTTGTCTCTTATAACAGTTATCCTTTTTAATTTGTCTCACTTACCTTGGATGTCCACTCATTCTACATTGCCTGGGACAGTTCTTGTTTTCATGCCTGTTGGGATGGTTTAACCAGGTATAGTGTACTCTTTTACTCTTAGAAATGTCTTATTTTGAATGATGATAAATGACAAGGTTGCTTTAGTCTTATTCCAATGAGAGTAAAAGCACCTGTGTCAATAAGGGGACAAGAGAGGGCTCTGTCTACTGAAATTCCAAAGAGTCTCTAAGGAAGGGATGTTTTGCAGATGTGTGGGCTCAGTCAAGGGCATCAAAAAGGATGTTGAGATATGAAGACTGAAAGAGGAAAGGAAGAAACAACGTTAGGGGAGCCCAGTAGAGGTGAAGCCCTAGAAGAGAAGGCACTAGAGACACCATGGTCTAGGACCGTCTCCATCGCTGTAGAACTGACCATGTTCCCAAGCACTGTCTCCCCACCTGTTTAATTCCTGTTTTGTGTACTATTGGCTGAACCAAAATGTAAATCAGAGGGCAAAGGTGCCCTGGTGATGAAGTTGGAAGGCATTGATGACCTGGGGAGAAAGCACGGAACAGCTCAGAGTGTAGACTGAGCTGCTTGGGTATGTGTGCTCTGTGGATATACATGCAAAACAGTGCAGGATAGGAATAAAGCTATACTCACTATTCATTAAAAAGTAAACCCCCAAATTGAAGATAGACAGCAGCTGAACACACGTTAGAGAGAAGCCTAGTAGTATGCAGTTGTAGTCAGGTTAGTGGTACAGATTCAAGGTGCTAATGGGGTTTGGAAGCAAACAGGCTGCTATGGGCTGGGACAATTCGAAGGATTACAGATGCGTAGAGGCTTAGAGTGGCAATGAAACTAGTGTAACTTCTGTGGGTAAGGAGACTTTGGGTTTCTTTGGAAAAGTGTGTGAACAAGAACACAGGTGTCTGTTCAAAACGACCTTCCACCTCCCGGCCTCCTGCTTAGTTTTTGTTTTTTTAAGATTTACTCATTTTAATTTTATGTGTGTGGGTGTTTTTTCTGCATGTCTGTCCATGTATCACATGAGTGTAGTGCCCACAAGGACTAGAAGAGGGTGTTGGATCCTGGAGCTGTATACCGTTGTGAGCTTCTGGTGGGTGCTGGGAACTAAACCTGGGTCTTCTGCAAGAGTAACAATTGCTCTTATCGGCTGAGCCATCTCTAATGTACCCTTGCCCTCACTCCCATGCTTAGGTTTTATAAACTCTGTGGGGGGTCTAACTCAGGCGTGTCCAAGCTGTGGTCCACTGCACGTGGCCAAATGAGGATGAAGACAGCTGAGGACATAAGCTTAAACATGTGAGTTTCTATAGATTTATTTTGGGGCGTGGGTAACTTGGTTGTGTGACTGTCAAGTGCATACTTTGTAGATGATGGTGTTGTGTAGCAATGCCAAAAGGTTAGATATACTCAGAAGGAAGTTACAAGTGAGTTCCAAGAGACTGGGTTGTCAGCAGCCATTCATTCGTTCCTCCAGTAAATGTTTATGGAGAACACCATCCTCAGATCCATTGATGCCAAAGAAGACATGGGCCATTCCCTTGAGGAAGAGGAATCGAAAAGGCGGCCAAGGAAGCAAGCAATTATTTTTCTGGGTGAAGATTGGGGTGTGTAAGCTGATGTGCAAGCCCACCAGGGCTCATCTGTATGAGACTCTGGCAGAGGGTGAGGCCATGGGGAATATTTTGGGAGGTGACAACAAACTTTGGATCCCTAAGGGGAATAAGAGCTCCATAATTGCATTTCTGTTCATTTGTGTCTATCGTGTTGCATTTTAAAGAAAGGAGGAAGAGGTGGTTGACTTAAATTCAGAGCATAATCAAGAGAAAATTAGATAAAGCATGGGGATATATAGAGTGTGTGTGTATATGACAACTTTTTATTATATATATATATATTTTATTTACATTAGAAACAAGCTTGCTTAATATGTCAATCCCAGCTCCCTCTACCTCCCCACCTCCCCCATCCCCTACCAACCTCCAACTCCCCACCTAGTCCCCACTCCACTATCCAGGGAGGGTGAGGCCCTTCATGGGGAATCTCCAAGGTCTTCCATATCATCCAGGGCTGGTCATAGGTCCTCCCCCAATGTGTCCACGCTGAGAGAGCATCCCTCCATGTGGAATGGGCTCCAAAAGTCTATTTGGATGCCAGGGATAAATACTGATCTAGTAACTGAGGCCCCAAAGATTGCAGAGGCCTCCTCACTAACACCCATGTTCAGGGGGTCTGGATCAGTTCCAAGCTGGGCTCTCAACCATCAGTCTGAGGTCCATGAGCTCCCCCTTGTTCAGGTCAGCTGTTTCTGTGGGTTTCACCTGCCTGGTCATGACCCCTTTGCTCATTACTCCTCTCTCTCTGCAAATGGTTTCCAGAAGCTCAGTTCAGTGTTTAGCTGTGGGTGTCTGTCTTGGCTTCCATTAGCCACTGGATGAAGGCTCTAGGATGGCATACAATCTCATTGTCGATGAAGGGCATTTAAGGTAGCCTCTCCACTATTGCTTAGATTGCCAATTGGTGTCATCCTTGTAGATCTCTGGAAATCTCCTTAGTGCCAAATGTCTCCTCAAACCTATAATGACTCCCTCTATTATGGTATCTCTCATCCTGCTCTCCTCTATTCTTCCCCCAACTCAAACTTCCTGCTCTCCCATATCCTGCTCTTCTCCCTCTCACTTTTCCGCAGCTCCCTGTCCCCTCCCCCCATGCTCCCCGTCTACTCAGGAGATCCTGTCCCATTCCCCTTCTCTGAAGTACCATGCATAACTCTCTTAGTCCTCCATGTTTCCCATAATCTCTGGCAGTGGGATTGTAGGCTGGCACTCTCCTGATTCATGTTTAAAATCCATATATGAGTGAGTATATACCATGTTTGTCTTTTTGTGATTGGGTTACCTCACTCAGGATGGTTTCTTCTAGTGCCATCCATTTGCCTGCAAATTTCAAGAATCCATTGTTTTTTTCCATTGTATACATTTTCTCTATCCACTCTTCAGTTGAGGGGCATCTAGGTTGCTTCCAGGTTCTGGCTATTACAAATAATGCTGTTATGAACATAGTGGAACAGATGTCCTTGTTGTATGAATGTTCATCTTTTGGGTATATGCCTAACAGTGGAATTTCTGGATCTTGTGGTAGACTGATTCCCATTTTCCTTAGGAATCACCATACTGATTTCCAAAGTGGCTGTACGAGTCAGCACTTCCACCAGCAGTGGAGGAGTGTTCCCCTCTCTTCACATCCTCTACAGCATAAACTGTTGACAGGAGTGAGATGGTATCTCAGAGTTGTTTTGATTTGCATTTCCCTAATGGCAAAGGATGTTGAGCACTTTCTTAAGAGTCTCTCAGCCATTTTAGACTCCTCAGCTGAGAATTCTGTATTTAGTTCTGTGCCTCACTTTTTTAAAATTTATTTTTCAGTTTAAATTTAGATAAGAAACAAGGTTGCTTCACAAGTCAGTTCCAGGTCCCTCTCCCTTTCCCTCCCCTCCTCCCGTGCCACCCCCAACCCCCCCCCATTATCCCCTCATTTCCCCAGGGAGGGTGAGGCCCTCCATGGGGGTGTCCATAGTCTGTCATTTCATACAGGGCAGGGCCTAGACCCTCCCCCAAGAGTTCAGGGTGAGAGTGCACCTCACATTGTTGGATGGGAGTCCAAAGTCCGTGTGTATACTAGGAATGAGTACTGATCTGCTGCCCAAGGCTCAATAGATTACTAGGCCTCCTCACTGACTCCCA